TCTGAATCAATCCTACTATTAGATATGTAGTAATGTAGTTAATTATTGTTTTCTCTTATTTTTAATTGACTTTTTATGTTGCTGCCTCTTATAGCTTCTATGAAGTCTCATTCTGGAGTACCAGTATCTTACAGTGCAGGTAAGTAGGAACATTTTAAGGTTTGATATTTTAACATTAAACTACATTGATTTTTTAAAGTTTTTTCTTTATGAACTTTTTCATTGTAGCTATTAACAATCAGATCCTTTTATATAAGTAAAAATTACTTCTGCAAAGGCATATATTGTTTTGTAAGTGATGGATGTAATTAGGTTTTTTTCTCCTTCCTCATGTAAAGCTATTAAACAATATTTACTGCACTGCACCTAAATCTACTTTTCACAATTAGTATAAGAGTAATAGGTGGGTTTCTTTTTTATTCAAATGATATGGCATGAGGCTTCATTTTCTAACATTAAGAAATTTTTATAAAATTTCAACTGTCTAATCATATCAGATTCTAAGCAAACTTTTTTTAATATCTTTATGTAATTCTAGTCTCTTATACGGGAATAAAATTATTCTCTTTGTTTTTAATTTTTTATAACCTGGGCACTGCTTTGTTCATGCAAAAATTAAAGCTAAATTTGAATTGTTGAAAAAGCTTTTCCATATACAACCTCGTAATATTTATATTAAAATATGAAAAGCTGGAACTACATTAGAGAAGAGTATATTAAAGGTGTGTTAACACATTTCAATATAATGTTTGTTTTTTTGTGTTTTTTTTTTTAATATACAATTTCTTTAAGCTGCAAGATTGAAATCTCTTTTATATAATATAGTATTATTACTTACTATATTTTGATAATAAAAAAACATTTTGTTTTGTTTAGAAGCTTCATTGAGTCCTCAAACCAACCCAGACGCAAAACGCCTGTGTACTGCTCCTCCAAGCCAAACTAATACTGCATCAAGTAAAATAGTGCATCCAGATGAAGATGTTTCTCTGGTAAGAAACATTTTCTTGAGTATTATTGTGCATAAATAAGACCTAATTTTTTAATCCGCGAATGTTATGGGTCAGTAACAATTAGTACAAGCTACAATTCACTTGTTAGCCTTTGCATAGATGATAAATTGAAATTATTAAAAAAAAAACTCTTTATAGGTTGTAAATTATAGATTTAACCCTTTGCCTTCTGAGTACTTTAAAATTCAATGTAAACTAATATAAGCACTGAATCATCTAAAATACATAATACAATAATTTTATGTATCAAATAAGTCATAAAATATTAAGTTATAAAAGCATTAAATTTTAGCACAGTAGTGACATTTGATGTCCAGTTAGAGGCCACATCAGAGTAGAAAAAGTTAAAAGCTTTTTTATTTGTTTTTCTCAAATTGATGAACTCATTCATTCATAATTCCCTTGTTACATTCATTTACCTATTCACTCTGTGTCATCATAAATTTTCATAATTGTAATGTTGTAGACAATAATAGACAACTAGTCAGATTTTCATTTTGTTCTATGCTAAGTTCAAAAACCCAAATGTAAATATTTTTCTCGTAAAAGCCCGTCCTTTACTCTAAATATACACAATCACACTGGTTCTGAAGCATGCAAAGAAGTTTATCTTTCCTCATAAATACACGAAGCAAAGCTTATTACGTAATAGAAACTGTTGAACCCCATTCCTTGTGTTAAATAATGTCTAAAATTTATGTTTAAAATTAATATCAATAGATGATGCTGTGCCAATTATTTACAGGGTGGCCACCCACCTGGAAAACCTGGAATTATCAGGGAATTTTTTTTATACTGGAAAAATCAGGGAAATTTGGATAAAAACCTGGAAATTTTATAGAAAAGCTGGAAATTTTTTCTTATATATTTTTTTAATTTCACTAATTTAAATTATTTGCTAATAATTTTCTTAATTTAAATTTTTTCATCCATTATACCCACATTTTTTAGGCGGAAATGTATCTCCAAACAGTTAAAATATCATCAACTTACTTTGCTTTCATCAAAATTTGCTCCATTATAACCCTGTTAAACTAGAATACAACATAAAATTTTTCCATGGTTGCTAAGCAAATGTCTTTGATCTCTATGCAGACTATGGGACTGTGCAATTTAGGAAAGGCAAAGATTATGGTGGATGTGAAAGACAGGGTTAGGATTCGGTTTTTAAATTCTGTCCGTGTTCACACAATGATTCAAGTTTGTTCGCAATTGAGAGTGGTAATTTTTTTCTATTTTGAAAAAATGTTTTTGTATTTTTAACTTTATTAAATTCTCTAAAAATTAGTTGATTATAATTTAATAATAATAGATTTTATAATGCACTCTTTTTCTGAAAGCTTTTGAACTCCCATTCAAAGAGATCTGTAAATTATTTTTTCTCAGCAAACCATTGACTCTTTAATTTTCAATTCATGATTATAAAAAAAAAGTTAACATTTTCCAAGTATTTATGTTATAATTTCAAGAATAGGCTTCTTTTTAAATATTTGTATCGCTTACAAATTCATAAAGAGCATTAAAAAATAACCAAAATTAAGTGTTCCTTTACTGGGTGTTCATTCACTGGTAAGAGCTGTTCCTTCACTTGGTCTTCTTACTACTTGTTATTTGAACCTCCAAAACTTTAAAACAATATTATGTAAATTCTGTTCAATTTTTTTACATAATTTGCAATTAGTAACAAATATGTTGACACTGTCATTTAACTAAAATTACGAATTTTGAAATTAATATGATTTTTTGAAAGGCAAGCGAAGCTTAAGTGTTCCTTCACTGGTTACTTTACCCTACAATGGATAACATTTTATACTCATAGTGTACTCTATGCTATAAAGACCAATTTCACAGTTTGTCCATGGTGTTACAGATTAGTTGAAAAGGATTTGTACCTTTTCACTTTTTTTTTTCTATCCACTTACTTCAATGTTTAAAATAACTAAACCTAATGGTGTTGAATGTACTGTCCCTTTCTCTTGTTTTAGACATCAACATCATCTTCGCAATCCCCTGTGGGCACAGATTTTAAACCTCTGATGACAACGTCATCGAGACCAACATTTCCTGCTTATAGTGGAAGTTCCTCACCTAATGTGTCAGGTACTTTTTTTATTTATTATACGATACGTCCATGCTAATTTTGGACAATAAGTCATTTCTAAAAGAAGAAATTAGAGTTTTTTAAAATTTTTAATGGTCATGAAGTATCTAAAAGAAGTGTGGTACTTTTTGTTAATTAGTATATGTCCCCCTCAATAATTGGAAATCTCTTTAAGTCTCCTGGAATATTTCAGATAAGTAGAGAAAAATTTCATGATTTTATATTGATTTAAATTCATTTTAGTTAAATATAAATTAAGAAATTCACAAGTGAAATTTAGAGAACTATTCTGTGTATTTATTTGTCCATTTCAAAAACCAAATGACTGTGACGCCCATAGTAAGACTATGTAGAGACTAAATTAATAACACACATATGCAATCAGGTTTAGGAGAAGATTGCTATTAGCAATTACGAGGATTCAGATTGAAGAGAAAATATTGAAGTAAGTCAATAAAGTAGACAGTTTTGCACTATAACTCGAATAACATGATCTGAATCAATCCTACTATTACATATGTAGTAATGTAGTTAATTATTGTTTTCTCTTATTTTTAATTGACTTTTTATGTTGCTGCCTCTTATAGCTTCTATGAAGTCTCATTCTGGA